TTAGCTTAGGAAATATGCGGGTAGTGCACTAGCTTTCGTGGACCCTCCCAAAGTAGCGGTAGGTTGAGTATCTTTGAGAAAGGTGAGTCTGTGACCGTGATGGGTATGAGTCGGTCTTCACATGCGCTTGGCGAGCTGCACAATCGTATTGATTGGCTTGGGGGACTCCATGCGGTCCAGAACTAGGTCACTCGTTTTTGGGCAGTTGGGATAGGCGAGAAGTTGCTATACCATCAACAGTACGCTTTGCGCTTAAATGGCCTCTGAGAGCGGGGTCATATTACCTCTTTAACGAGCTCGCGTTGAGCAGTGGATGCAAACGAGTAAGACGCAAATTCTGTGTGTGTAAGTACGCCGACACATTCAAAAAGCCTTTCATCGTCTACATATATGATTACTTATTTATGTACGTTGCTTTCGTAAATACTTGCTCTTGCCGACGCTACATGCACTGGGGTCATGAAGCTCAATTTCTTCGGATTGAAATCCTCAACTTAGCCACCACACAGATGAGCGTCGCTGATGCGACAGATATTTCCTCGGGCATAATAAACCACTCACAAAGTATCTTGCTTCAAAAATGGAGAGACAATCATTGTCTCGTTTGTATCTATGACTGAGATCAATGTCTCGAAACACGGTACTACCAACTAAACTAAGTCGTCTAGAAAGCGGCGCAAATGAAGAAATAGTTAAGATTGTTAATAATGGATTTATTGTTACATTCTCTTTAGTTTCTAATGCGGAAGTTGGCATCGGGTAAATTAAATTTTTTTCATCAAGTCCGCTTCGTGATTTGCAAATGAGCAGCGTCTCTAGTCTCTAGTGAGACACTGCTCATGATACCTTGATAAGGGCATAAAAATATATAAACGTGTGATGAAGTTTGCGGATCCAAAACCAGGTCAGTCATGAATCATTCTCAATAATTTGAAGGCAACACGTGACAACTTCCTCTTTCTCACGTAAAAATATTCCCTCAAGAAAGGTTAAACGGGAAGTGTTAAATACCTTAAGATCGCATTGTCAAGCTTTAAAATTAGCACTCTTCAAATTTTCTCAATTATTGACTTCACAATGAACAATAATCTCAGCTCCACCACAATTATTATCCTTCATTTACTATCGCAAAATTGCTACAAAATTCTTTAATACGTATTCCTCCAGTAACGACGAGAGCTCTTGTATGGGTAATGTGGTAGCACTTACATCCGTCTGGGTAATTCCAATTACATTGATCACGAATGAACAAACTTTTTTGCCACTAGCCTGTGGAACTACTATGTCCACGTGCTGCACAGACCACACTGTATTGTTCATTCAGCTGCATCGTTATATCGTGAAAAGGAAAGCCATGTTTTTATACCAAGGTCTGTTCTTTTCGCCTGCGAATTACTGTCGCCTGTCTTTATCGAAACTTGCACTAGAGACCGAGACACACAAAAACTCCAACTTATCCATATAAAATCAAATCTAGATACAGCGACACACAGTCGCTCCAAAAAAATCTAAGAGAGAAAATCTCAGTTGCCAGACCTTATAGCTCAACTTATTCATCTCGTCAAAAATACCGTCTGAAGGCCGCGATATATGATCTCTATTTCCAGCCTGATCTGGAGACCGCGACTCACTGTCGTTTCTACCTGTTGAGCTAAGAGAAAAAACACTTAGCAACATCGTTCTAGGCAAGTAAATTCGAACAATCCATGTCACTCCCCGGAACAATTACTATCTTATATTATTGGTAAAATGTTTTTGTTTTCTGGCAGAGGTGGCTCACTTCGCATCAAAGCTCTTCACGGGGCGATGTGTGTAGCATTTTGTGTTTTCGGCTTCAGCTGAATCCATGACTCATAGCATCTTAGCCAGGTCATATATAGCGTAACATATTACCTCAAACCTAGATCGATGGCCAGACAGCCTTTTCTCGTTGTGAGAGCCCTGAGATTTACATGCAGAATAAAAATATCTTCGGCATGTTTCATCACACAGCAAACGGATACGTTATCTGGGCATCCCAACTTCTAGACAGTCCCTAGTTGTATGAACTTTCTCGACGCATTCAGACTGTCCACAACTTTGCCAAGTCCAGGAAAGGATGCTGAGAGCCATTACCTCTGGGCAGGATGCTCCAGAAAGCGTCGTTTTTACGAACTACATGAACCTCAGCCTTTACAAAGTGCAATACCTTTCGGATGATCACTTTGCACCTCTAGGATTAGAGATTTCACCACAAGAGAATTGTCGGCGTTATTATGCGCGGCAACACGACCCTTTGCACATCTTAAATAAGCGATAAGAGTCACGCAAGGCAATCATGCCCGGCTGTACTACATATGAAATACCTACAACTACCATAATTCTATTCGGAAGCCAGAATTCGATCTTTCTTCTCTTCCCTTGGTCGAGATGTTTTGGCTCTGGCGACCTCATAAAGATATCATATTCCACACCTTCGCGGCTAGAAATTTTGCTCTATATTGAGGGCGACATCCATCGCTTCTTTATATGAGATTGAGATGACGCGGAAGAATCCGGCGGAAGTTGTGCGAGTACGAAGACGCCATGAATATAGTTACCGCTACATGTTTTGGAAGAGTGTCTGCAGCCATTTATACTAACTGATCTTAGCCCTTGGACATAGCCGATTACTCTCGGCAGGTAGACAAGAGTTCAGTCACACACGATACGCTTGTTGGGCTGTGCGAACGCCCATAGCATGCGTTGCTTCAGCATTATCAACGACATGTATACCTCAACTACAGCAGACCGCACATTAGTATCCATTCTTGCGCTCTACCACATAGATTGACGACAGCTAGCGCCTGTCGGTTTGTTTTTTGATACCAAAGTGAATCTATCTAAATTCTTAGTTTGCTACCCTGTGCTACATCTCAGCCTATCCGTTTGAATCATTCTAGCAGCTTCTGCAAGCAATCTGATTTATATGAACCGATGAGCGAATACCATTACGTTCGTTATCATTATCCATAATCATGATAGTAACTGCAAACATTCTCGTAATATTTGTGACGCCATCCATGCACATTCAGCAGTACTTTTTATAATCATCGCTGTTAAGTTCGCTATGAATTTTGCTTCTGTATAACAGTTTTTGTGCGTAGAAACCCGAGCGTTTTAGCTTCAAGCGCCTTGGTTAACATGTCCGCGAGCTGATGCTTTGGTTCGACGTAGTGAATTTGGACCGTCCTGTATTCAACGTTCTCTCGGGTAAAGTGATGCTTGATGCCGACATGATTACTTCTGACATGAAGGCCATTGCCCCATTATTGTCCTTCCAGACTCGCGTTGCATGATTCGGGTCTTTTCCATGTCCTTCAACATCGCGCTCGTCCACAAAAGCACCTAGGTGCACATGTTTAGTGCCGTGTATAGGGCTTCTGCTAAACTCAGTGCCACAGTTCTCTGAGATTTTGACTTGAACATCACCGATCCATCACTAATTCTAACCATCACACCGGATACAGATCGCCTGTCGTCGATGTTGCGAATGCTTCAACCATAATGATACTGGTCACATCTATATATACAATTCCATGTTGGCGCGTTGACCGTAAGTATCTCAGCACACGAATTGCGGATCGCCATACTGTATTCCAGATTCCTCGAGAACTCTAGATAGTTGCGTAACTACGTAGGCAATGTCCGATCTAGTACATGTTGTTTTGTACATGAAACAGCCGATGAGAGAACAATACAGCTGTGACTGCATTTCAGTAGCCTCTGCATCTGCTCCTTGCGATCGTTCTGTGTAATGCTTGAGATTGAAAGCACACGGGTTATCGGTCGTCTTGGCATTCTGCTGATCGAAATGTTGCATAACATCGTCTATGTAATGCGTTTGCTTGATCATAAGCGCTCCGGCTCTCTTGTCGTGATCAATCTTCACCCCTATGATGAAATTTGCGTCCTCAAGCTCCTTCATTTTGTAAGGACTCTTATAAATAGTTTTCATCTCCCGGATCTATGCGGAGGTCTTGGCTGCAATTATTATATCTCCAGCGTAGAGGAAACGTAGATGTACCCGCGCTTAGAGAGCTTAACATCCATGCACTGATCCGCGCCGCAAATGCATCCGGGTGTGCAACGTTACCATCTTGTTTTCTTCATCTTGCATTATGTTTAT